ACGGTAAAGAGAGGTCGATACCTCCAGGTTCCAATAGTGTGCACACAAGACACTGTTTTGAAATCTTGCGGCATTCAATTCTCTGCCATTTGGATATGACACTGGAGGGTAGCCACGCGCCGCCATTCAATGGAACTACAGGATTCGGTCACGCTCATGTCTGTCAAAACCGGCAGGAAGCTATTGACTGGATGGAGGAAAGGAGGCCCGAGGCGCCTGACGAAGATAAAGGCGTCTTGTGAAAGAGAGTTTATGTGTTTAATGAGATTAAGAGGTTACAACTTAGATATTGCAATCAAGTGGATGCTGTTGTGCAAAGTTCAATCTGGCTTCTTCATCCTCTATTTTGCGGCAACGAGTTTTTTGGTAACAAGTGTAATTAAGACCCGGCCATGTGGCACTGTAGTACCCACCCAAAGTGTGAAATGCAGTCCGTACACTAGGACCACTCTATGCGATACGCGCTGTCTGCATGCAAAGCGAACTTATCGCGGGCTATTGAATAACGAATATGATTTTTTTTGTCTTGAGGTCCCAGAAAGTCTACTTCAGCTACGCAAAAGATTCGCCAATCACTCAGTGCACCGTCACAGTAGCATCTTAAATGCTACTCAAGGATGGGGTATCAAAAGTAGCGGCAACGAAGTAGCGCTGGGTGAACAGACTCAGATAATTTCATCTTCTATTATCATCTTCATCTACAAAGTCTGGCAACTGCGGAAGAACTTTAGCATGCGTGATAGCAATATTCACCGCCCCCGGATTTTCCGGTACCGATGGCGACAAATCTCTCAGGTAACACCGCCGTTCTGAGATGAAAACAGCTTCCATGGGCTGCTCCATCTTCTTGTAGGGAAGAGTCGGTTTCGGCTCTGCGATGACGGTGAAGCAGTGTTGGATATGTGGCTGATCGAGATAGGCGTCTAGGAATAATGTCGGCATCCGTGAATAAGCGCGATGCGTGCCGTTGATCAAATACATGCAGTGCTGCCAGTGGGCGTAGTTTGAAAGCCAGGCTGTTTTGTGTTTGATCATGTCGCCTTCGAGTAGTTCTGCCGTGGAGATGGGTTGTGTAGCCGCCTCGTCCGCCCAGAAACCAAGCTCGACGTTTGTGGTGAAGTCTTGATGCATCTCGCTGTCAAAGCATGGGTCTGGGATGTAGCCGTTGATCATTAGGTCGTACGAACATCCTCCTTTCCTTGCTGCTGCCGCAGAATCCAGTGGGCAGGCAATGTAGGCACCTACTGGATCGTATTGAATGGGGTATTTATCCTCAAAAAGTTGATTGAGGGCATTGGCGGCACTAGGGTGCGTCGAGTCGGTTTTTTGAGTACATGTGTAGGTCTCCTTTCTGGAATAAAAGTACAACGAGCTGAAAAAAGTGCCTGTTACCAGAAGAGAGGCTACTATGCCAAGTGCAAGAGACCGAGACCGGGACCATCCAGCTCGGGTCGATGATGGTTGTCTATTCGCACAGCAGTGGTATTCGTCAGGTTTTCCCTGGGGGAGAAGAGATTCGTCATCGTGCCCAGAAAGTGAGGGAGACATGTTCCAGATCCAAAGTCCCAATCATGGAACTCTTCAGAAAATCAGAAGTAAACATATAGCGTCTTCTCAGAATTGCTACCATTTGCAGGTAGGCTGCTTAGGGATAGGGTTCACACTCAGAAAGCGACCTCCAATAGTTTCAAGTCGGGTATTATGTGACTGGCCAATATCTCCGATTTCTCTCAACTTATTCGGAGTTATTCAGACTTATCCGGACGCCTTTCTCTCTTCGTGTTTGTAATAACATACTAAATAGTTTAATGAGGGTTTAAAGTGATTGAGTGACCTTCGGCGCATTACGGCAATCACGCTAATGCCGATGACATTTGAATGACCACAAACGCCAGGTGCTCACAAAAGTACCCAGCATATGTGATGATCTGTGGAACTTAATGCACGCGATCGCGTTCTCGTCCCAAATCTACACCTCCATACAATCTAACGCCACGATGCCTATGAAACAAGCACTTTCTGTCTGCAGTTGGTGGTGGGATTTACAGTTCGCTCAAGCTGACAGCTGGCCTGGGAACCACATTGTGCTGTACATAATCTACAAATTGTATCGCTTCTCACTGAAGTACCTTACACTCGCCAAAGTCCAAATTGATCAGGGAATCCACCAGGTCCGGATCAAGCACCACCCTCGCATTCAAATACGAAATGCAATGTTCCCAATGATGTTCGTCCGTCCTAAACGGATTCCACGCCACATCCTTCTCACTCCCCGTCGCCCGCTGAAACTGCCGGCGCACCATCTTCATGACAAACTTGCAGTGCGCAACGTGCCAGTCCACATCTACCCAGAACCCACTTTCTCCCATTTTGACCTCCTGCGCCTGGATTTCGACGGAGCGGTTCATGTGCGCCCAGTATTTCCACGGCACGCTGGTGAACTCGTCGTCCATTTCTTTGTCGTAGCATGGAGCGGGGAGCCATTGGCCGTCTACGACGCTGTAGATGCAGCCGCGCTTGCGGGCTTCGTTAGTGGTGGTACCGCAGTCCAGGGTCTTGTAGGACGGTTTTGTGGGGATGGTGAACGCTGCGATGGCTGCAACCGTTGCAAGCAGCAGAATGATGAGACCCAGTTTGGGGAAAAATGAGAACTTTTTAGAAGCGCTCTTCGTCTCAATGCCAGGATAGAGTGGAGGGTGATGGCTTTTCTCGGGTCCATCGAGGTATGGAGTCTGATCTTCTGAACTCTGGCTTTCAACGCGGTCGTATTTGAATAGGCGGTTGAAAGAACGTGTAAACATGGTGAATCAGGTATATGGAAATTTGGGCTGTAAGACTTGTTGAGTTTGACACAGAACGATGAGTGGATGGCTGAACAGGAGGCGGATATTAGCCGCGAAGACTATATGGAAGTATGGCAAAAGAGAGCCGTCGCGGTGACGAGGCCTTTGTATTTTTTATCAGAATCGAAAATTGTCGTTTTGCTGGGCGCACTACCGGATTATGTGAAAATCTCCGAACAGAGGCGGGCTAGAGAAACGTCCGACGCAGAACGATTCCAATCATCAAATCAGTTCTGCTGTTCTTTGTGGGAGGAGGAATTCGGCATAATGTCCAACTATCTCCTTGCGATAATCCAGCTCAAAGATCAGGTTGATCATTCAGAATCTGCTGCAGCGGACAAGGTCTTGGATCGGGTCTCCTTCGGGGGCCTTCAGTGAGGCAATTTTTGCTAGACTACCTCCTTGCTGGTTGGAGGGACTTTTGCATTGATGCTGTTCGTTTTGTAGATGTGTTGAGGGAGAAGATTTTGAGTGGTTGTGTGCAGGCGCACTCAGGGCGTTGGAGCCCCCGATGTGGATTCAGTGCTAGGCATGTCCGCGCTGCACTGCACTGCCATGTCTCGTTTTGACTGGATCAGTGCAGCTACATAGTGATGGGATAATGTAGCTGATGACATGCCATGCATCTCTCCACCTCACCAGCGCTGTCTTTTGACCACTTCGCCAACCTGTTGTGAGTCTCGGCGTGACCGCAAGCCATGCCATCGCGACTCATCCCTCTTTCAGCTGCATCCTGCTGTCCCAGGGACTTGGCGATATAGGTGATGTCGCTGACTCGCTCGCCGCGCCGTCAATGATGCAGGTCATCTGTAGACTTGTCTCTTGTGGTTCTCGTCCTCTCTCAGCTTTCAGCTTTCAACCTCGCTCGGGCGTGCTTGCCTGTTCACGCACCACCTCTTCTCCTCCAGCCTCCTCCACGTCGCCACCCTCAATCTCACCCTCCACCCCATCCCCATCTCCCGTCTGCTCCTCGCCCAACTTCCGATACTTCCTCCTCTTCTTCTTATCCGCACTCTGTTTCTTCCTGCTCTTCTCCCTCTGCTTGACCTTCGTCCGCGCATCGTCGCCCAGCTCGGCCTCCTCAATGCGCTCTTGCAGGATCTTGCGCGCCATCTTGCGATTGACCGTGCGCGACCGCGTGTCTTGGTATTTCACCACGATGCCGGTCGGGATGTGCTTGAGCTGCACGGCGGAGGAGGTTTTGTTGATTTTTTGACCGCCGGGCCCGGAGCCGTGCAGGAATTTCTCGATGATGTCCGAGTCCGGGAGGGGGACGCGGGGTGGGAGGGACTTTGCGAGGTGGGTGCGTGTGGATGTGAAGCAGCGGGTTTGGAAGCCGAGGGAGAGGGGGAGGCGAGATAGAAAGGGAGACATGTTCTGAATCATCATCTTGGCCAGCTACATGGCCCTCCTTGGAAATAACACGCGTCGAGCCTCCTCTTTCAGCTTTTGTGAACACAATGTCGCGGCCGACCAGTGACGTCCACCCATCGGCGGCGACCGCGGAACATGCCCGAAGCCGCCTGATCCCTGCCCTCCCCAAATTGTGCCTGGCATGACAATCGACAGCCCCCGTTCCTGAACCACGCCCACGAAACCCACCACTGCAACTCTCCCACGCGCGTGCAGAACAAGACTCCCCAGCAAGCTTTCATGATCGATTCGACTTACCTCGCCACCCTGACCCTGCTCGCCTGCGCATCCGCCCTCGTCCTCGCCGCAATGCTCTACCCAGCCGCGCTGCTCCGCTGAGTTCCAGCGCAAGCGGTACCAATACGAAGTCACATTCTCCTTGTACATGTTGACGTCGACGGAGAAGTTCATATTCAGTGCGTCTCCCAACATGCCTATCGACTACAATTCCTAGCTGACACTCGGCGTCTAGACTCGGTCCTCTTCCTCCTGCTCTCCCTACTCATCATCGCCGCGTCGCTGTATCTGCCAGACCACCTTACGATTATTGCGAACCGCTTGTTTTACTACTTCTCGGGGAATGAAGAGACGCTGGCGACGGGGGCCCAGAAGGCCGGCCAGCTGCTGGAGTCGAGTCGCGCATTGACGACGACACAGGGGCTGAGCGCTGCTGCCGCTGCGGGTCGGGGGGTTATGGAGTTATGAGGACGTCATTGGATATGAGAATAAACGACCCGAATTCGAAATGCGGCGCGAGGAAAACACCTCAATGTGAAGTTGTTGAGCAATTGATACTTTGCACCGTCCGGGCTGTTGGTATATTCGTCCCAACCTGTTTGAAGCCCATCGGTTATTAATGCATGGGGGATGGCGTTTTGCAGCTTTGCCAGTGACTTGGCCAATGTCTTGAACCGTTGTTCGGGTCAGTGTATATAAACAACAATACATAATGGTAATATTGGTTCCTTTGTGCCTCGCCCACAGCCCATTCTGTAGAGCCAGTAAGATTGCTAGAGCGAGCGCTTGTTGGGAGGTTCAATGAGACCGTGTTGTCCCTCACGTGAGTGCGACTTAATGCATATCATCACACGCTTGGAACTCATAGTACCAACAAATAAGTCCTGGGACCCAAACCGACACCGCGGGTCTCCGAGACGGGACTGCTCAGAGCGACAGTCGTTTTATTGAAACAAGTAAATGGAAGTCGATATTGGCAGTGATGTATTTATAGCCCAAGCACCGGGTAAGCGGCGCGGTAGAAAAACGAGAGAAGCACAGAAGAAGCCTACTGGTACGTGGGAGCGTGCTGAACAAAGCATATACATGAAGACCAATAGGTGTTTGATGTAAATGAAATGATCCTGGATCAAAGGTTCCCCAACAAAATCGAAGCTGATAATATATGACTTGTTGGATGGAAGTGAAAGACAATCCAACGAGAAGGGAAACCAACTATCGTATCGTACAGATTGGCTCTGACCAAGCTATGACAATCCTGGTGAAACAGGCACTGATGGAAGGCGCAGGTGAAAGGCGCAGTAAGCACGTTTGGAACGAGCGCCGCGGGATCATGTTCGCTTCCGCAGAATGACGAAAATCGGAAACTGTGTTCAGTCCACCACCCCAAGTTTACGTCGTGTGATACTCGTTGGTATCACACTCCAATGTTGCTTTGTATTGTGGGGTTCACAATAGTTCACAAACCAAATAATACTCGGACAGCATCCGCTAATGCTGACGTCGTATAATTGTTGACCATGACGAGCGCCGGGAACTCCTGCATGGCATCGGCGTACGCTTGACCGGCAGCATCACTACTGACTAGAAGTAGAATGGCCGGGATACCTGCTATCGCGCTGGTCTCGTGTATCTTCCTCCAGATATTCCTAGCGAAGTCGACCTGTTGCTCGAAAGCTTTGGCGTTGCTTCGCAAAACGTTTTCGGTGACGCAAACCACAATAACGGTAGCTCCACTTGCTGGTAAGAAATCCGCGTGTAGATCCGTCATCCCCTTGTCCAGTCGGTAAGGTACATGTCGTACTTGCCGCGGAAGAGCACGTCCCAACGGTTCAAACGGATCCATATCTTTGGACAGCTTGGTAGCAGGAGGATGGGGCACAAAGGGAGTGAAGAGAGTGATTATCTCGGCCTCATGCAACCTTCGTAATCGAGTGAGGATCCCGTCTGGACACCGCACAATCTTTGCATTGCTGGAAACAAAGACTCCTTGTTGTGTGACCGTAGATGCCATGTTCGAGCGAGAGTGTGTCGAAGTATTGCAGGATGATTTGCTTTTACGCTCACCCATGCTGAGTAACGCAATCTGTTGCTGGTATGTAGATTCTGTGAGATAGTGGGAAAAATTGGAAAGAGGTTACAGTCTGGGGGAGCGTAAATGGTGACGAGGGTTGCCCTTTTGACTTTTGATAGCCCTAATACAATATGCTGCTGCTGGTTCCTTGGGCCTTGTCCAATATCAAAACCCTACCCGGCTGTGTGACTGCGACAATGTGGTGCTACTCCTGTGGGAAAGCGGCGTTGACCGAGCTAAGAGCGTTTGCAGCTCAAAGTCTATGGTACAGACAAGGTAATGTGTGACGAGTATAAACCGTCAGAGTTACAATGAAAACTTTGCCCATATGGTCAGTGTTCATCCATGTAGCTGCTGGGCGAGATACAGATATAGAGTACTTGGGATCGTGATGTGAACCGTGAACCCTGCCTATGGTGCATTGCCAGTCAAAGATCATCAGCGTCACTTGCAAGCATGCTTCTAGAAACACATATCAATACGGCTGAAAGCAATGCGCAGGGTTGTACAACTCCTGACACTAAGTAAGTCGTACAAGGCCTTGAGCACGCATATACCGCGTGCCGATAAGGGCCGCGGTCTTCGCGGGACCGCACCAACTGGATTCTGGCAGTCGACCTCACGCAGGATCCGAGATGGCGCTGCGGCTTGCACAAACCGAGTGCTTTTAGTGGGCTGTGTCCGTTCCGTTATGGTCGCATCCGCCCGGGGCAGACGGCTCCCTCCAGGCCTGATTGTCGCACAGCAGCATGTGCGAAGACTTTGATCTTAGCTAAAACAAGGACCAAGTTTGGGTGGGCAGTCCATCTAACAGAGTTTTGCGAGTCGTGTGCCGCAAAACTGTTGAAGAGCTATGCCTCCACTTGAGTGATGTTCTGTTGGCCGGCCCGAACCTGAACCTGGCTCAGCTGCGTGTCCTGAGCCCAACATTACGAAGTTACGAAGTACAGTCGATGCACCAGTAACCGGGGATGCGATTGAATGCAGACATCCGCCGCCTACATGTTGCCGTTCGTAATGCGATGGAGCGGGAGTCAGGACTTTTCGAGCGAGCTTTGCAGCGTTGATCGTATCGAGTAGCGCAACAAACGACCACTCAAACGCAGCAAAGGGACTTTGAGCCGATAGTACTATCGATCAAGACCTGCTGTGCGACACAGATACCAAAAGAGATGCCGCGGTAGACAGTCGACGGGATGCACGTCCAGTGACAGAGCACTTATGCGGGTGACGCTGCAAGACTGGTTGCATGATCGAGGCGGGCGATCCCAAGTGACAGACAGCGCTTACTTTCTTTTTTTACCACGAGCAGGGATAGCGCACCACGGACCGTCAAGGCAGGTGGCATACGCCTCAATGGCGGAGACAGTCTTGATCCAGTCTGCGTGCAACACAGAACGTGGGTGAAAGGCAGGTGAGGGGTGGGGAGGAGGTCAGTTGGGGCAATGTGGTGCATCATTCGCTTGCTTAGCGCCCCGAGCAAGGAAAGGCGCGATCGGAGTAGGTAAACACCACTACGACGCGCTCGAGCACCAACTCGATCAAGAAGCGTTCGCGGTGGACCTGCACCTTGTTGTATGCATGGATTGATGAGAGCGCAATGCCTTCTGTTGTTGGTAGGAACACGTGCACTACCCTTGCGCCAAACCCCACTGATGCACTCGACAGAAGAGCGGCCTCCGCTGCACGACGCGCTAGAGTCACTGCATAACGGTAAGTGAAGGACTGGAAGCGCATTATCAACCTGATCGGTACTGACGGTGTGCATTGTAGCATCAAGAACACCGGCCAAGCAGCGCGCAATCAAGGTGTTCAGCTCAGTTGATGTCATCTGCCGACATGCATTTGAGGACGGACTCGAAGAGGATGCTCTTCGTGCCGTTGTACAGCTCGTCTGTGTTAAAACTCATCTAGACCAAACAACAGTCACAACGTTGGTCAAGAATCTCTACCCCACCCATCGAGTACCCGCGGATGTCATCGTTACCATCGTGGGCGCACTTGGCCAGGGCAAAGGCAAGCCTTCGCCAGGTACTCAAGACAGTCTTGTAAAGTGGCTAAGGTCTATTCACGAGATCATCGAGGATCCTAATGTACTTTCTCGTTTATATGGTGTGCTTTTTGGCATGCTCGACATGATCAGTATCAGGTGCACATTTCCAAGTTTAGACTAGCCAGCGGCGGCATGCTAACCCAGACAGGACGTCTCTGTGCCATCTGCTATCATTGATTACCCGTAGAAAGCATGTCAAGCCATTTCGAATACAGCAAATGCAAGTTGACCGCGGCGAAAAGCCAGCTTGAGCAACACAAAGACGCATACTGACATGATCGTAGCCTCGAGTTGTCCCGCAGCATTGGTAACGAGCCTGCACTTCAGGGCCTTCTCCGCGTTTTCAAGGATTACTACCCCGACATCATTCTCGGTAGCACCTCCATCAGCAAGAAATCGTTTGCTCCAGTAAGTTCCCGTCTTCTGTCCTACTTGAGATGATGTAATCTTGCCATGGTTCCATGGACCCCGCCAGTTGTTAAACTGTTGAAAAAACTCACTGACCTCAAAAGCAACCCGACACGGAGTGGCGGACCAGAATCTCCGCAATCCAGGACGCGAGCACAGCAGCGGATGAGACACTAATTGATCGATATAACGGGTTCAAGGTCTTACGAAAAGGGCCTAAGAATAGCGAGGCGTCGGCCATTCCGGATGTACACACCTACCATGCGACCGAAGCGTCAGTCACCCTCGAAGGTATCGACAATGTAGAGGAATTTGTAGAAAGGCTCGATCGTATCGAGCCACCGGGTCAGATGATAGCGTTCCTGACCGATCCACTCCTACAGAAGTATGTAGAGCTGAGACCAGCACCCATTACATTTACTAGGATAGATCTCTGGCTCTCAACTTGTCTCGAAGACTTATATGAGTCCAAGCGGTCAGGCAATGGCGATCTGAGGTATGCGGAGGGGATCTTCGATAGCCTTCTCAGACACGCCGATACTGGTGCGGAACTTCACCCCACCACGCTCAATTTCCTCCAGGCATACTTGCCCATCTGGAACGGACAAGAGCATTATGGTGCGATTCTGGGACTCCTTTCGCATATACCCATTGGGTCTTTCCCAGATGCATACACTGACTACTTCGCTTCTGTCGAGCAAGCCTTGTCATCGCATGGTCCGGCGGCATACGAAAAGCTTGTCAATTTCTACACTTCCCTGCTCCAAAAACAGCTATGCGCAGCCATATCACAACCTCCGGGACGTAGTTCGGCCACCAACAAGGTATTCCAAGACCTGGCAGCACATGTCTCCACCTTATCAAACTCACTCCTCCTTTCCCTGCCTGCAGGTGAAGGTCAACCACTCATTTCCTCGGTCCTCTCCTTCTACGAACTCTTATCAACATCCTCCAAACCACACATCGTACCCATCATCCTACCACCGATGCACCTGGTGTACCTCCTGACCCAACACACCTCTTCAACAACCTTTTCTCGCATCTGCGGTGTCATTGGCGCACACAAGGCTGCATTCGACGTGCACCCAAAGCCAGTCAAGCAATACTACCCCAACGACGTCACAGATTCGCTCAATTGGTGCCTGCGCGACATCTACCACTTGATCTGGATAGCGCGCGCTCTCCTCACAGCAGACAACAAAGCTCTGGGCTTGCACTGCCATCCGGACCTGCGCACCGCTCTCAACGACTACCTCATCAGCATCGATCGCGAGTATGCCATCGGGGCGGTTTTTGGGCTTTCGAATCACGCTTGGCTCGCGGCTATGTCGGCGGCTGCTTGGCGCACCATGGAAGAGCGCGAGATTGCTAGAGAAGGCTACGATAAGAACAGTGTTCGGTACCACCAAGGTCCCGTCAGTGGGCGGAGCCTCGAAGTCCTGAAGAGAAAGGGGGGTGTGAGTGTGGATTGGGACGGTGCAGCTGGGTATAAGGTGTTTGTGCTGAATTGGTTGGCAGAGCGTGGATTGAACGGGATCAGAGATTTGATGTTTGCTACCGTCACTGAGTTGAGAGATAAGGCTTGAGCTGAAGTTAGATCTTATTCGGCATGATGATTGCTATTCATGAGTCTGCGCTGCGAACGACGGTGGTTTAAGAGAGTCGAATGGCACTAGAAGGTTCTGCTTGAATCGGTCTGCTTCATAATGAGAAGAAATGTTACTTATGCACACAAGTGAGTTGAGACGATGATCAAAAAAGCAATTCAAATTCGTGAAATGCTTGTTCAAATTACTAAAAAGACTTTTTGTGTCTCGAAAAATCGAGACGTCGTAGAAAGGATACTATACAGCGTGCGCAACAGGTTTGGAGCTTCGTCCATAGTGCACATGTATAGTATTGAGATCTTTCTTTGATCGACCATCGGGGTATCTGAGAAATGTATGCCTCCCCGCTCCTTGTCTTTCATCTACCCATAACGCCAAAAATCATGTTTTGTACAGCCAGAAGACCCAAGACCATGTGAATGAGTCTGTGGGATTTTGGTGTGGCAGGAGCCACTTTTCAGAGAACGAAGTCCCAGATCAGGAACCTTTTGAGGTGCAGTTGCGGGGCGCCAGTTTTAACCGCAAAAAAGCTCAGGCAGTAGCGGCGGAGTCCTTCTTCTTTCCAAACAAGAAGAACAAGGCCTTAGCACGCTCCTTGATGGTGCGCTTTTGAGTGACCTCGTACAAAGGCTTGTGCTCCTCGTGAATATCGTGATGGCCCTCGTAGTCTACGTGGACATAGGCACGTTCGACATCAGCCAAGCCTAGATGAAGTTAGTAATAGTTCACGATGCAAGAAAACATAATTTGAACATACCTTCGAGCTTTCGCTGCAATGTCTGGCTTACATCATGAGTGACCTTCAATGGCAGGTCCTCATCCATTACCACGTCGACCTCGACATAATAATTCTGCCCAGCGTGGTAGGCTCGGCACTGTATCACATTAGCCCTCGCCTAGACCGCCTGTGCTTGGCTTGAGACACATACCGTATCCACCTTAGTGATTCGCGTATCGTGCGTAACGACAAGGTAGATAAGCTTGGAAATGAATTCCTTAGGCGCCGACTTTCCAACAAGAAGCCAAACATGGTCAAATGCGTTCGCGGCCCATGAAACCAAGATCAAGAGTCCGATGAGGATCGCACCGATTGGATCCGCATACCAAGCTACACGGCTACCGACAATAGACATGGCCAAGCCAAAGGCGTTGACAACAATGTCGTTACGGTGGTCGATGAAGAAAACATGCACGGCAGGGTAGCGGCGGAAGATGAAGCAGAAGATGCAAAGCGAGCCCTTCGAGAAGACTAATAATGATCAGCAAGCGACAGGAAGAAGTATCAAGATGGCAAACTAACTAGCAACGGACACGAAGATGATTGGGATGAGGTGTAGCTCCTCAGACTCTTTGGCTCCACCCCCAAGCGCGCGACCAGATTCGATCTAGCTATTGTAAGCGACGAAGGATTGAACCATGTTGTTGGACCTACGATGAGCTGAATCGCGACAGTTGTCATCAAACAACAGAACATAATGATACCGATCGTTTCAATGCGTGTTCGTCCGACAGGATACTTGTAGACGCTTGGCCTTGCAGCCATCCGAGACGTGGTAAGCATGACAACGGACGATACTAGATCCATGAAAGCATCGGCAGCGGTTGCAAACAAAGACAGCGAGCCCGTGGAGATGGCTGCATACATCTGAATGATGAAGAGGAAGAAGTTCACCGTGAAAGAAGCATTAACGGCGAACTTGACCTTTGGTCCATTCTCGAGATGATCGAGAGCAGCTAGCCGTTCTTCGTCACCACTTTGGAGGAATTGATCAATCAGAGTGTTTTGCCTGTTGTAGAATTTCTGCGACTGGTCAGATCAAGATTTGCGAGGACTGACTGGTGACGAACCTTCATGTGCCTGGGCTTGGCGAGCGGGTGTTCAGCCTTCAGCTGCTTCTCAGACATGTCCTCTCGGCGATGGCGTGCGTAACCCAGTGGGTCGGCACTATCGACAGTGATGGTAGCATCGTCCTTGGCCCCAAGGGTGGAAGCATCAGTGACAGGTGCTATAGCATCGTTGCTCTGCTGGGCGACAGCGGCAGGCTGGTCTGACAAGCTCTTGGGAGACGAGGGATCAGCGGTGACTGGAACATTTGTCTGTTCGGCACCTTGGCTTTGATGCTGAGCCTGAGGAGAAGCTAAAGATGGCATCAGAGACAAGCACCACGTACTTGGGTAATCTGACACTCACTATGGTGATCGGAAGACATCATGCCCGGTATCGTATGACAGCTTGTGTTGAAGGTTCTGAAGATCTCTACGATCGTGTGAGAGACTTATGTAGATGGGTCGGTCTACCTGAGCGCTGGGAGCGCCATGTAATAAACAGTGTGCTCGAACGCCACCACGGCACCGCTCCACCCTCGCGGAGCTTTTCCTTACTCCTTGATCTCATTCTGGAGTGGCTGGACTCGTGGGGAACGGCGTTAGATTGTGATTCTACAAGTCTTTGCGTGAACGCGGAAGGATGGAGCGGAGCATGAAACAGCTAAGCATTATCGAAGCTCGCTTTTGGCTCTGAAGCGAGTCAATTCATTGGCTCGGAGCAAGCTTAGCTGGGTTCTTGATCAGTTTAACCTTCTTGGCGGCCTGCAAGAGCGGAGAGAGCGGAGGGAACGTATAATGTGGATCACGAGATACACATCTGTGGATGAGATGTGCACTTGTGGGTATCCGTGTTCAATCCATATTTCTGGACGTCGACAAAGCTTGTCTTGCTACAAAGACACGTCTTGATCGTGGCTAAGAAGGGCCGAAGGGGATGTCGCAGGATGTGACATCTTGGCTAGCGCGGGGTCCATCAAACTTCAACACTTCCAAGGTTGAGGCTGCTCCTACCTCTCCATCACAACACCAGTAACAGCCCAGATATACCCCACACACGCACTGAGCCACAGATTAGGCGCTAGCGTGATGTTGTGATCGGCGCGGAGAGTTGTATAGCAGGGTTGCGTGCAGCGCACGCCCTGAGATGGGCTTCGGGAGGTTTCAAAACTCCCTTTCTCGGACCATGCCAAGAAGAACCCCATCGGCTCCAAACCGACCGTCTTGGCCTCTCATGTCAACCTGATCACCCGACGTCTCATTGGACCATTGTATTTGTGTACCGAGGCCTCATACTGGAGCTGCGGCAGAACGCTCCCTATGCGCCTCAGCTCAATGCTTCGCACCTCCACACTGCGTAAGCCGACCCACGCTGGGGAAACGACACTTGAGCCGCATCATGTTCCCACCCCTTCCGACAAAGCCAAGTGGTCGCTCCCGTGACAGCTGCCTGCTATTGGGCTTGGATTGCTGGGCAAGCACTGATTTCACTTGTGGCCTTGTGGCCTCAGGGCCATGCTTCTTCCGGGGTCGATGCGTTTGTTGGCACAAGCTCTGCTGGTCAGTCCTGGCACCGTCTGGAGCTCCGCGTTCTCATGTATGAAGCACCTGTCCAAGACTGGACGTTGTAGCATTGACCACTGTATCGAGGCTCCACTATCCGTTGCCTCCACCGAATATGTTCTAGAGACCTGGCGATCACCGTGAAGCGGTTAGTCACTTTAATGCTGTCAGCACCTTAAAGCATAGTACATAGCCCTCTGGTGCCGAGCCTAGTCTATCATCAACTACAACTTCAACTTTCCATTCTTTAGTGCACTTTTAAAGAGGTTTTGTTGGGTCTTTCTTTTCCCTTTCTCACTCTCTTCTCTTCGTTCGTCCATCGTCGCCGGCGACGAAGCTTCTGGCAAGTTTGGTTTAGAGATCCGGTATACTCTTCCTTGGACATTTTACTCCTTATTTTATATTTTCAATATGGCCGACATGGAGAAGCCGGTGTGTGGAAGTGAGGCAGATGGCGCCGTGTATGATTTCCCTCTGCACGTGGCTGCAGTCTGTAAGTGAAGTCAAGATCATACAGCAACCCCATCGACTAACTGATGTACAGTCATTGTCTTCTTCGCCTCGATCGGTGGTTGCGGCTTTCCAGTCGTAGCTAAAAAGGTCAAGTGGATGAAGATCCCACCGAAGATTTTCTTCTTCTGCAAGCATTTCGGTACTGGTGTCCTCATCGCCACTGCTTTCGTCCATGTCAGTACAAGCTTATTGAAAGCATTCTCGGAATAGTGTGCTGACATTTACAGCTTCTCCCAACTGCCTTCGCATCTCTCAATGACCCTTGCCTACCGGAACTCTTCACCGACAAATACCCTGCCATGCCCGGTGTCATCATGATGGCTTCTTTGTTCGCTCTCTTCGTAGTTGAAATGTGGCTCAACGCAAAGACCGGAGGTCACACCCACGGTGGATCAACTGGCGAGGAGTTTCAATGGCCACGCACTCACCTGCAGGCGTCCAGGCCGCATTCAACAACTCCCATCCGCCGTGTCGAGAGCTACGACTCCCAGAAGACAATGATGGCTCAGCGCGACGAGAAGCGAGGATGGCAAGAGGCGACTTACCCAGTGGAAAATTTCCCCTTCCCTACGACCAAGAACGTAGGTTCAGAAGAGCTAGAGGCACAGTCCGAAATGCCGCCGTGGTTCATCGTTTTCTACGAACAATACGTCCGCCAGCGTGACGAGATGCTCAGCATGCTCAACCGTCAGATGCCAGCTCTTCCAAACTACCAGCAGCAGTCAGCGCCCCAAGAGACCAGCAATGTTTCGTACTTCGATGATGATGTTGAGAAGGCTGTCGATCCCATGGTACTTAAGAAGCAGTCTATGCAAATCACGCTTATCGAAGGTGGTATCCTCTTCCACTCCGTCTTCGTCGGCATGACCATCTCCATCACCGCGGAAGGTTTCATCGTTCTCCTGATTGCCATCGTCTTTCATCAGATGTTCGAGGGTCTCGGTCTCGGATCTCGTATTGCTGCTGTGCCTTACCCATCAAACAGCTGGAAGCCATGGGTTCTTGTCGTTGCTTTCGGTACCACGGCTCCCATCGGTCAGGCCATCGGACTCCTTACCCGTGGCTCCTACGATCCCAACTCTGCCTTCGGTCTGATCATCGTTGGTGTGTTCAACGCCATTTCTTCCGGTCTGCTCATTTACGCTGCTCTTGTTGACCTTCTGGCCGAGGATTTCCTGTCCGAGGAGGCTCAGCACACTTTGAAGGGCAAGGACAGGACCATGGCCTTTATCTACGTCCTCCTTGGAGCTGCCGGTATGGCAGCTGTGGGCGCGTTTGCTTAGGCAGTCCGTTTGGTTGTTCACTGCACAATCATACACCGCTCGTGGTGATGGCTGCGCAGTTGGGTGGTACGGTTTGGTTCCCACCTCACCAACGTCTGGAACACTCCGCACAATTGACAAGATTGTCCAATGCTATGCTGGGTCATATCTCCAATTTCTTTTGTGAACGACTGTCACGTCATCGTCGTTGTATGAATAAGGGGGAACACGGTCATGTCGGTTTGCGGCGTTACATTAAATACATCTTAACATCTTATAAAGTGGGGCAGCCAGTCTTTCATTTAATGTGGTTATTATATTTAGCGGACAATCACATGTATTCCGTTGCCTATCAACAACCATGTACTTGTAGCTTACTCGTGTGGAGTATTGGGATAGACGCTCGCCACTTCTCAGTCGGGATGCGAGCTTTTGATGACAATGAGACCAAATTTGCGAAGCAAACCAACTTATACCTAGTGCCTCGCTGTCCGTTGTGCTTTTGTGAAAGCTTCCGCAAAAAGATCGATGTATGGCTCCCACCAGGGTTGGCGAACAGCTTCCGGATACCTCGAGAACCCTCTGATTCAAGTTTTCGAGGTGTGTGTGTGCGCCACGCTTATGACTTCCCGTGCCTCCAATGTCGCGCACACGCTGTCTAATCGGACATGACGACATAGGTCAACGATAACGATTTGAGTGTTCTGGACGCAGAGGTTCAGCTTGAACAAAAATGAGTAAGGAGAACGTCGAGTCAGAGGTTCCTTTGCAATAAAGCAGAGGTTCAGAGGTTCCTTTGAGAGGTTGATAATTCAACAGAGGTTCGCCATGAGCTGAAAGCTACAGAACTGAACGCTACTCTTGTTATCCATTTCTGCCGCCGAACACTTCCTTCTTATACTTCTACAAGCGTAATCCTTCTTCCGTTACAACCGTAGTGATCTCCAATACGCTCCACCGTTGCACTACGAACTGTATCGGTGGCCAACTCTCCTCCACGGAACTCTCAAAGACCGGCACCAAGATCAAATTCCCATACACCTTGACCCAGCCAAGCTACACGTGCATCAACATCCAGCATCATGCCTTTGCAAAACCCGACTTGGGTAAGCTCCGGCACTTCTCAGTGCACGCTTTGGGTTGCTTGTGTTATGCTTGGCTGAAGCGAATAAGAACTGTGTTGTGTTTCGACGGCTAGTGATCTACTGTACATGGAATGATGTGCTGGATGTGAAACGTGCAGCAACCCGCAAGTGTCTCATGTTTGAGGCTGATGGCGTAGCGGATCGCCTTGGCGGAGGAGAGGATCTCATCGACCATGTTGCACTCATGGCGTAACACAAAGTCCGCTGTCCGGAATTCTTCGTTGCACTACCTACTTGAATCTGGATGTGGCTCGCTGCACGTTTGCTCCACGCAGTGTTACCGTTTTGTATCGTCTAATATGGCTTGGAACGTACAACAGTCGCGCGCGTCCTTTGCGACAGGATCGATGGCAACTTACTAGATCTGTCAGAGTCCTCTACCATCCTTCGTTACAAACTTCACCCAGCACCGAGGAAAAACGACTTCGCGGGTCGATGAACGGATCGCGCCCCGGGAATCCCGGCGCGTGGCCCGCACCTAGCCGGCTCTGATCATCTCGCAGCGCAAGATAGACATCTCTTGCGCCGATCACTGTCGAAGCTGCAACATGGAGTATTCAATTGTAGTATTTCACAAACAATGGTGTTTGGATGAGGCTCGCGAAAAGTGTAATGCCTGAAGCGCAAGGTGTTATTGCGGTAAATGCGCCGCGGCTGGTGGCGGCAAAGCTCGGCTAGCAGTTTTTCACCCCAAGATCCAGTCATTCACGCGATTACCCGCCTTGAACTGTACATCTCTTTCCTGCGCCATCCGCATCACATTACCATCGTACGAACTAACTGCCATGGAGGACCATAACGACGGTAGTACAGCACATGATGGTATGAATGGCTCGAGCAAGAAGCGGACCCACCCAGACGACTTTAAGCGTGCGTACAAGGCTTGCATCAACTGCCGCCAGCGCAAAGCCAAGTGCATTCTTGGTCCTGGGCCTGATGGCGGCGAATTGAAGCCACCCTGCCAAAGATGTAAGCGAGAGATGCGAGAATGCGTGTTTCGATCCGAGCGATCGTGGGTGAAGAGACGGAAACCTGGAGAGGCGAGAGACAATGACCTGGACGAGCCGGTCGCCACCCAGTCACATCCGGCTGCGACAGTTCAGCCATCTCCACTTCATAGGTCATCATTTTCTACACATGGGATGACACCTGGCCAAAGTCCTCATATCAATGGTAGCCAGCGCTCCGATACATTCTCTCCAGGTCATCTTCGCCGCATATCGACCTCGCAACCTGACCTGGCACATTCGGTCATGAGGACGGTTGTGTCTAGCGGCAGTGACGCCCTGAATTTGCTCTTCGAAGCGGCCCATCATCGTGATGCTATGGATAACCAGGAGCAATCGGGTTCCCAAGCCTATGAAACACCTAGATCAGGTGCAACTGGCTACGAAAGGTGTTCCGTCATCACCGTTTCACACCTTCAAGGCCCAGCCGAGTGCAAATGTCAACGCCCTCCCCAGAAACGCTAAAGGTCTGGACATCTTGCCGATTTGTACAGATGGGATGGTTCTCTGCACACGAAGCTGTTACATATGTCGACCTGTTCTTCAAGAATTGCTCGCCGTCTATCACCCATCCTTGGAGAGTTCTACGCGCACAATGAGAATCACTACTCGTTGATCGCACTTGATCCGTTCTTATGCACGACCATATTAATGATCTCGTCTCGCTATAATATTCTCCCTGGTGTGGGAGGCGCTTCAAGAGGATATTTTGTGCATGATAGGCTGTGGGAGCAGTGTCAGCGATTCATTATGAAGATAATGCTTGGCCAGGTCAAACCATCGAAAGCGCAAAGTCGGACCATAGGCTCCATCGAAGCACTTCTATTGCTTTCGGAATGGCATCCGCGTGCACTCCATTTTCCAACAGCCGCAGATGGCTGGGATTGTGAACTGATGATTGGTGCGAACAACACAACGGAAGAAGGCTCAAGGCTACTGGAAGGCGACGCAACTTCGAGTCGTTGGCTTGAGGATGTCATTGAACCAGCGAAACGCTCAGATCGCATGTCTTGGATGCTGATGGGTTGCGCATTGTCGCTTGCTCAGGAGCTCGGCCTTTTCGAAGACAATGCCAGCATCGAGAACGGACCATGGTCTCGTATCCCAAATTTACATCAGAGTACTTGGTAATCCGTCGCATACGGGCTCGGAAGTTACTCTATGTCTTGTTGGAGCAATTGTCGTGGAGGTTGGGTTGTACCTCTATGATACCACAAAGCCTCAATCACGCACTAATGGAAAAGATCCCAGTCGACTCGGCGACTGGTGCTGTTGAACAGTGGCAGTCATTCATGAGCGCTTGGGTCGAACTTACCAAGCTTGCACGTTCCGTATCAGATACCATATACCCCTCTGCTGCAACCACGCGGAGCCTCTTGCGCACTGGGCGCTACATTGGGTTGCTGGAGCACTTCCAGCCACTCCTGACATCTTGGAGGAAGAAGTACCTAGACCCTTGCAGTAAGCAGTGTGCTTCTCCCAATGCTGGCCTTATACTAAAGTCCTCACAGAACTCAAAGTCGGATTGCACGACATGCTGCATATAGAGTATCAGTACGTGCGGATATACACGAACTCGCTCGGCATGCAAGCCGTTGTAGAGCGCACACTCGCTGAGACCGATCCGGACGTGCCACAGGAAGACAACTTGTCTTTCAACCTGGAGCCCAGGGATTATGATTTCATTCAAGAGGTGGTTGACGGAAGCTGCCAGATCCTGCAGAAGGTCTGCCAACTTTCGGAAACAGGCGCGCTCAGATACTCACCCGTGCGCATCTTCCTACGCATCACCACGTCCTCGATCTATCTCATCAAAGGCTTGAGTCTCGGATCGCGCAATCAGAAGCTGCAGTCATCGCTTGATATCTTAGAGGGAGCAATTAGAGCTCTGCGCGCTAGTAAGTTGTTTTGGGATCTCTTTGTAGTATGTGGTTAACTTCATTAGGCACGCTCGACGATATGCATTTGGCCTCGCGATATGCGACCCTACTGGATCTTCATGTTGCGCGACTCCGCGAGAGCTTTGTAGTCTCTTCGAGGCCTCCTCGACTGCCATCACGCGCCACTTCCACGGATATCAACAAGGCTGGCAGCACGACAGGAATGGACTTCTTGAACAACCACAACGCGGGTCAGTCAAGCTTATCGTCTCTTGCGGAGAACGTGACTGGCTTAATGCCTGACGATGACTGGCTTGCGCTACCCTTCGATCCAGCGATGGCGCCCTTTGGACTCGACAATCAGCAGAGCTTCCAGGGCTTTGATGACGGCACGTTAGACTTCATATGGAATTTGCCGATGTAATGTCGTCTGGCTACACCGATTTGTTGGGTACGGCACATGAAACTCTCCTGCTTCCACGAGCTTCACGACAAAAGTAATAGAATAATAATAATGATAGACGACTTTATGGAAATTCAGACCTCAATTCTTAGTAACAAGCCACCCTACCTCGCTCATGAGGTCTCCGATTTCATCTCTTCTTTTAGTGCATTCCTGACAATAGCTCCACACATTTTCGCGTACGGATTCGTTCTTACACTCATCTCTCGCGCCACTTCATCGCCATACCTCGCCGCACCCGAAAAGTCTTTGCTCGCCAGCTCTTCCAAATCACTCTTCTCCAATCCTTGCAAAGCTGTTCCTGTCTCCGCTGCCTTTAGGTAAAGATATGCGCGATGCGAATATGCGGTTCGAAGTATCTTGGCTTGATACGTTGATACCGGTGCTGTTGGCGAAGAGGCAGGCAGCGAGACGTGTATCGCGCGAGACAGATCAGTAAAAAGAGGCTCTACGTCGCTCGTAGAGTGGGAGAAGATATTTTGTGCAGCAGTAAGCTGCGACTCTAGCTTCATGCGGAGAAGCATGGCGCGGTTGATGTAGGCGCTGCCGTAGTTCGGACACGCTTCTACTACTTGATCCAATTCTACGATTGCGGCATCGATGTCTTGCTCGCTGGAACTCGTGGAGATCCGCCGTACAATCTCATTTTGCTGAGCTTCAAGCGCCGAGATCTGAGATGCGGGAATGCTGGGATGTGGTGGCAGTGATGTGTTGATTGCTGTTGCGTCTTTTGACTTTGCGACGGATGATGGCAGGGTCTCCGGATCGAAGAGCGCGTTTAACACTCGTGCGTCGTTCGCGGAAAGTGCAGTAGGAGAAGTAGAGACTGCCATGGTGGTGGGAAATGGAGAGAGTTCGAATATTCACTATGGCGGTTGCGTTGAATGTGAAGGGGTGGTTAAGTTATAATACACTTCTGGACGGCTGACTGGAAATGCTGAAGTAAAAAATATGGTTGAAGTGCGCGGTTCAGTTGCTTGGTCGAAGCATTAACGAGGACTGTTAACGGGAATACGATCTTCTCTACCGCAAATGAGGATTGTTCATTCTATAGACCCGTGATTGCTATAGCTTTTGTCGCTGACGTTCCTTCGGCATAGAGCGTGCGGGCGGCTTTTGACGGCAAAGCACGCGTGCTTGTCCACGAACAGTTAGGCTCCTGCCCAAATTGGCCGCGACCATCTCACGCAACATCGAACGGTCCTTTCGCACAGCACAAGCTGAGCAGCACTCAGATCCCACTGCATTGAACCTCCAGGATGACAGAAAAACGATTTTTTTGCTTTTGGTGGTTATAGTTACGTACTGCCAGGCGTGTACTGCGACGTGTTCCTCAGTTCGTTCGTCCACGTCGGATACCAGCGGACTATTAGAAAGCGGACAACAGCGGACAATACCAACCGTTCAGGAAGGTCACTGCACGTGATCTCGGCATAAGGGCTAAGGATGACGGTGAGTAGAACGCACTTGCCATGAATAGCATCGAGATTGCGGTTTTTGCAGGCAAGTGGGCGGAGTGCGTGTGAATGATAAAGATGGAGCAGGCAATCACTGGTCGACTAGCATATATCCCTCCTTCAATACGCATCAGTGCTCTTGAACATAATCATAATCGCACCAACTCAGCCTCTGTCTTTTGATACTGAGAGTTGATCTTCACAATGGCGCCTGCTGCTATCTCACCACCGAGCTCGCCGAGCTTGACGAATGCTACACCTTCATCAGATGTCTCGGCGTACCGTGGATATCACCATGTACACTGGTATGTTGGGAATGCTAAACAGGCTGCTTCGTTCTATGTCTCGCGCATGGGCTTCGAGCGAGTTGCATACCGCGGACTAGAGACTGGATCGCGAGCCACTGCTTCTCATGTCATTCGAAACGGCAATGTTACTTTCGTCCTGACATCGCCTTTGAGATGTCTGGAGCAGAGCACACGGTTCAGCAAAGAAGATGAGCAACTGCTTCGGGAGATCCATGAGCATCAGGAGAGGCATGGCGATGCAGTAAAGGGTAAGTCAAACACACCACTCAAACACAAAAGACATAAACATTGACATTCCACCAGACGTTGCTTTCGAAGTCGACAACCTAGACGCCATCTACACTGCCGCCGTCTCCTCAGGCGCCACCATCATCGCCGCCCCCCACGACATCTCCGACTCATCCGGCACCGTCCGCCTCGCCACAATCCGCACATACGGCGACACAACACACACCCTGATCCAAAAGAACTCGTACACCGGCACGTTCCTCCCCGGCTACCGCTCCGAGCCCAAGACCCGCGACGCGCTCTCCCGCTTCCTCCCGCCTGTCCAACTGCACGCCATCGACCACTGCGTCGGCAACCAGGACTGGGATGAGATGGAAGACGTTTGTTCTTACTACGAGAATGTCCTGGGCTTCCACCGCTTCTGGAGCGTAGACGACAAGGATATCTGCACCGAGTACTCTGCGCTGAAATCAATCGTCATGTCCAGCCCCAACGACGTGGTCAAGATGCCCATCAACGAGCCCGCAAAGGGCAAAAAACAGAGCCAGATCGAGGAGTACGTGGATTTCTACGGCGGCCCGGGCGTGCAGCACATTGCTCTGCGCACGGATGATATCGTGAGCGCTATTACGAATCTCAAGGCGCGCGGCGTCGAGTTCATCAAGGTCCCGGAGACGTACTACGATAGCATGAAGCTGCGGCTTAAGAAGTCTGGGCTGGTGCTGAATGAGGACTTTGAAGTGCTTAAGAGTCTTGATATCTTGATTGATTTTGACGAGGGCGGGTATTTGTTGCAGTTATTCACAAAGCATTTGATGGATCGGCCGACGGTGTTCATTGAAATTATTCAGCGGAACAACTTCGATGGCTTCGGTGCGGGCAATTTCAAGAGCTTGTTCGAGGCAATCGAGAGGGAGCAGGATGCTAGGGGGAACTTGGTGTAGCGGATTTGCATTTTTCACAGGCATATGTAGCATTGCGCGGCGTTGTTTGGGTGGTCCTTTGTATCTTTATGTCAATGCCACAATGCCTTCCATCATACCACCAGAATTGCTCTCGTTCCCGTAGTACGACCTGAAGGCCGTCGCGACAGTGTCTTTGGAGCCTGATAATGCAGGCTGGATGGCGCCAGGGCCAGATCAATGGAGTCGATGCCTATACACCATAGGTTAGTGTGATCATCCTCCATATACTATAGTGTCAGATGAAGTGAGGTTAGGATGAGTGTGCTAGGAAGAAGTCAGACTTTTTATTGGCAATCTATGGACATCGATGATGTAGCTCGGAGGCACTCGATTCCTTCTATCCGTTAGCTCTATGTCCCTTCCAATCTATCCGGGTGGTAAGCGTTACGCTCAGTGGCGGCGGCGAGCACCAGTTGGGCGCGGCGCGGGGAGGACGACAGGGGTGGTGTCGACGATGAGATTCCAGCATGGATCAGTTGCTGGATGGACGTGGTAGCGGCACTTGAGAGTTCCTTGATTGCCATGGCAAAGGCAATTCTCAAGTGCCGCAAAGTTGATCTCCACGTCCATCATCTCGCGGTTGCGAGGGTTGGCGGGGTTGGTGGCGTCGAAGGTGTACTTGCCGGTTTGCAAGTTTCGGAGCGTGGCATTGACATCTGCTTGGAATTCCGCCATGTAGTCGGATAGGCGGGGCACCTGGCCGCCGTTCATGCGGCTTACCCAGATGTATGCGTCGACGAAGAGTTTCCTGAAGCCGTTATTGCCGGATCCAGCTCGCATGCAGACCTGGAAGACCTGGTCAGGCGACGGGGGGAGCAACAACGCGTAGGTTGCGGATGATGACGTTCATTATTGCGTCCATGAAGTGGTATGCGCCGATTCGAAGACCCATGTAGTAGGCTTGCACCAATTTCCTTGCAGCCGTCATTGCGTACGGGTTTGCGTCGTGTGTGGTGTCCATGAGTGTCGAGAAGGTGATGTCGAGTATGTCGAGCATGCTCGAAGCTGATGCAGATGCGGAGCAATCTCTGAGGGGCCAGACGGTGCTGTCGAGGAGCCATTGTGCTAAGAAGTTGAAGATGACTGGATGGAACCCTTCGAGCTGGATCCATGAGCCGTTGACCATGTTTGTGCCATTGAGGAAGCCAGTGAAGTACTGAAGGACAGCGAGCTGTGAGACGAGGAAGACGAATGCGACATTGAAAGGCCTCAGGTTGACGGTGACTCGCGGGCCCATAGCGGCAGCTTCTTGAGCCCGTTTCTTCTCTCTCGAAGCTTTTGAGGGCATGAGCTGCAATGCAGAAGGAGGCATGATAGACTGAAGGAGTATGGTTATTATGGGTAGCTTTCAAAGGTCTTTGTAGTTGATTGCGTCTGTCGGAGCTGCAGAAGTCTTGTGAGTGAGTGCTTTGATCGAAGTTGCAAATTGTAAGTTGCAAATTGTTATTGTGGAAGCAATAGTAACCACGGTGACCACAACAGCAAAATCACGTAATCGACGCGACCGCGACATGAAAAAACGTGTCAGTTCACTAGCGTGACTCAATAGCTGACGCGCAGGCATGAAAAGCTGCAGTGAAGTCGAATTTGCAGTTCGTTGACGTCTATCGATGATCTGGTCTGTGATCTCCACTTGCTTCTTGTTGCGGCGGTAGCAATCACGAAATTTTGGAAGCGTTTGCAAACCAAAAAGTTCGGGGTAGGGCAGTCCGAAATCCCCAGAGGTCGGTGCTCTCTGCTGTTTGCATTCGTCTCTGTCGTCACTTTCCTATGACACACCAAGCCGGCCATGCTGCGTACAATCGCAATTTTGCAGTACCCTGTTATGCACTTAGCGCAAACGAAGGCGGCGATTCCTCAGTGCGTGTAAATGATACTGGCTTGCTAGACCTAGCGGTATGCCACCGCGATCGCCTCTGTAGAGATCTTCATGGTGTTTGGACGATGAGCGACTCTTATCGAAGACAGTGACTTCCTTGACGAGGTTCCAATGCTCTTGCTTCTTCCAGCGCAGCATCATCGGGTACACCATAATGCTCTTGATAGACTTATTTCGGCAAGTTTGGGCGAAGTCAGCGATCTGTCCATCAAACCAGCACAATGAAGGGTCGGCTGGCTGCCAGATAGAGACGGCCTCGAGCTCTGCAGCAAACTCGAGAAGCGACATGGCAGCATGGAACATGTAGGAGACATCCATTCTTGCATTGATCTGATAGCGAGCCTCGTCCTCAGACTCCTGGAAGGTCAACGATTTTGGAAGCCGCGACGTGTCAAATGGAAAATGATGCTGTGCGTTCGACATGTCTGTTCGTAGTGACAAGTGTTTCAAATTTGGTGGTAGAAGCGGGTAAATCTCTGTGGTGATCGAAAAGTCGGGATCACCAGTCAGGAAAACTAATGGGACTTCAATGGTATGCAGATCGACATGATTCGTGAGATCAAGATATCCGTAAAGCTTTTCTCCCGTCCGTGGTTGTTGGAAAGGGAATGCACTGGTGTCGCAATATTCGACACCGAGAACGAGAATTTTCAAAGACCGCGGTAGCGAGTCACTCCACGCTGAAAGGTCAAGCCAATGCTAGAAGTGACGGTGTAGTTAGCGAAATGTTTGTCGATAGTGTGCAGACTTCAGGCAAAATTTGAGCAAGATGAGATGTCGTAATTCTCTCATGACAGACATTGCAACGTTTGTGCTTGCTGAGTGAATGGCACAAAAGTAGTAGCCGTCTCGTATAGGTTTAGAAACTCATTAGCTTGAAGGAAACGTCAAGACTTTGCAAACATACACGCCTGATATGGCTGGTGCCATCGGTTGAAACGCAAGGATGAAAGGCAGACCAAGGAGCAATTCAACAAGGACCTGGGAGGGTTCGACTTACTGTACCAAAGTCAGTATAACAATGAGAGGTATTTGAGACGTTGAAAGCGTACCTTGCGGTGCATTAGCGCGCTCATTGCAGTCGTAGAAGATGTCGTAGGTAAAAGACTGCAACCGGGTGCTCCCATTCAGCATGGGCTGGAGGTTCTGCAAGTCGGCGTCCGAATGTCTAATAACCAGTCTCGTGATGTTGGCCAAATTCTCAGGATTGTGTAAGCCATGTTGGGATCGCCAGGGCGTGATATGCTGGAATGGCACACCAAGCGTATTATGTCTATTAACATCCGGAATAGAGAACTCGAGTTTCTTGGGACGTTGGGCAAGTTCAAAACAGGCTCCACATTCAAATCCGGGCAGTGCTTTTGCGGTATGCAAGACCACTGAGCTTG